TAATATTTAAATTTATGTTTATTTTTAGACGACTACCTGAAGGCAAGGTCTAAGGCACAAATTGCAGAGGAAACAAGTGACCTTAATACAGAAAATGAGGAAAATGTTGGAAGAAAAAGAATTTGAAAAATTTTATCTAGCAGTGACGAATCGCTAGATAGAAGCATCACAATGATTGACAGGCTCCCGAAAATACAAAAATAAAAAAAAAATTGTAAGTATTTGAGAAATGTCTTTTATCTTTTTAAAAATATTTAATATAATGAAACTATTTACATTATTTTCTTATGTTTAGGTGTAGATAAATCTCAAAATCAGAGTGCCAAAATTCTGTGCAAATATTTTTAAATAATAGTTCTTTTATAGAAGCAGAATCGGAAGCAAGTACATCTGCACTAACATTTGCAGAAAAAGCAGACGATGAAGTACTTCATTCAAATGTGACAAAGCCAGTCTGTGAAAATTGTCTTGAAACTGGTATTTATATATTTTTTAGCTTGTGTACATGAATATGCATGAACACAGACAAATAGCTACTTTTATTTAAGGTTCTGCAGCTAGCTAAGTTAGGTGGGACTAACGAATATGACTATGTCAAGAGAGTTGCAACTAACTCTATCCAATAATCAAGCGCTAAAATATAGCTGGTTGGGACGGAAAAAAAGGAGTTTTAAGGAAACTAACTTAGCAAAATTGATTTTGAGTAAATGGTTTTAGTATATTGAACTATATCTACAAATTGACCTGACAAAAATGAAACAAGCCACTTTTATAATTTTATTTTATTACAGTGCATTTCATTATTCAGGGGAAACATTTTGCTTATATTTACTACCTTTGTATCACTCCATTTTTTGGTTTTAAAATATAATCTATTGAATTGTAAGATCTGCAGAAGCAGCTGGTATCTCTGACAGCAACAAGAATACCGAAATTGCCTTCCAAACATGGCGCAGAAGAGCATCGGATAGGAGATGTTGCACTGATGGTGGAAGAATCCAAAAAAAAATTTAATTTTTCTATTTGTAATATAATATTTAAACGAAATGTTTTGGTATTGTTTTGTTAATAATAATGCTCATAGAATCCGAGAGTATGTCTTACCAATGTCTAAAACAGACATATTCAAGATGTCTTAAGAACGTTCCTTTTTGTAACATCAGACATCTTAAAGACGTCTTTAAGACGTCTGGCCGACGTCATAAGACGTTTGAAAGACGTCTGTCATGTCTAAGAGACGTCTTATGGACGTCTTAAAGATGTCTTTGTGTTGTCTGGGAAGGTATGTCCCTAGATTATGGAAAGTAACTTAAGTCACTATGATCCCCAAACCAGGAAAACCTCCGAACAAAGTTTCGTCATGTAGGCCAATATCTCTATTGCCTATGATATCGAAACTATTTGAAAAAATACTAATAAAAAGACTGAAGCCCATCTTTGAAGAAAAGAAACTTATTCAAGATTACCAGTTCGGCTTTATAGAAAACCATTCGACTATAGATCATGTTCACAGTATCTCAAATGCGATTAAAAAGTATTAGAAAACAAAGAAGTCTGTTCAGTCATCTTCCTTGATGTTGCTAAACCTTTTGATAAAGTATGGCTTAAAACATAAACTGAATGTGTTACTTCCACAGCCATACTTAGAGCTATTTGATTCATACATTTCACATAGATTCGTTAGAGTAAAACAAGATGAAGTATACGCTGAATTGAAAGAAATTAAAGTAGGAGTACCACAGGGAAGCGTCCTGGGACCCACTTTGTATCTGTTATAAACTTTTGACATACCCCAACTTGAACAAGACACAATAGCTATATTTGCAGATGATACTGCCATCCTAGCGATAGGCAAAGATCATGAAGAGGCTACAAATAAATAATTGGACCAAAACATGGCGTATTAAACTAACCGAAACCAAATCTCTTAATAATAATTTTACTAACAAAAATGGTCAAAGAATACCAATTAACATAAATAATGCTCAGGTCCCTTATGCTTACTCGGCAAAATATCTAGGTATTACATTAGATGCAAGAATTCACTCGAATATCTATTATAAAAAGAAAAGACAAGAGTTAGATATAAAATTCAAGAAAATATCCTGGTTACTTGGTAGGCATTCCAGCCTATCTACATATAACAAAATTCTAATATATAAACAAGTTCTTAAAGCAATTTGGACCTATGGTATTCATCTCTGGGATTGTACCAGATACAGTAATGTTCTAATAATCCAGAGGTTCCAGAACAAAGTATTAAGGAACATTGTCGATGCTCCTTGGTACATTAGAAACAGCGACCCTCATCGAGACCTTCAGATGGACACTATTGACCAGACTATCACCAGATTTGATAGGAGTCACGAACAACGCATGTGAACGTTGAGGCGATCCAGCTTATTGACAACACGAACCTGACAAGAAGAATCAAGAGGGTAAAACCTTTTGAATTAGCCAAGTGATTGTTATTAACAAAGCAAAGCATTGTGCAGTTTATTGTAATTAAGTTATTACACCCTAAGGTATACTAGCGAGTAGAACTTTCATTTTTAAGATCGCAACCCCAGTTAAGTTAGGTTTTAACAAAATTACTTATTGATCAACTCTTGATCAGATTATAATATTAATAAACGCCTCTTTTGGTGTGTTTTTTCACAAAAAAATATATATACTAAAATTGCATCTATAAAAGTCTCGACATCGTCGCTGCTTTTACCTGAAAATCTACTATTACATTTTGCGAAGTTACCCAAGTTTACGATGTTGACCAGTTGGTTACCTGCTACTACCATTTGCCTCACGCTATTCTGTGGCATCTGCAGTTGCTCGTCAGTCATCGTTACGGGTGGCATATTGGCACTGTGGTTACCGTTTTCGGAAAACCTCTTAACTTTAGGCGGTAATTATTAGTCATTCACGTTAAACACGTTTGATGCGAAAATTTATAATAAAATCACGAAAAACAATATTTTTTTAGTTTATAAGCAATTTTTATGTATTTAAAACTTGGCAACAAGAAAAGTAAAATTTCGCAAAAAAATCAGAAATATGAAACAGTCTGGCAACAGCGCGAGAGTACAATTTTGACAAATCGCACCGAGCTACGCGCTAAAAACGAAAACAAGAAACGATAACTCGCGAAACGAACTTGCAGAGACGAAGCACCATCGATGCGATTGACCGTTTTCCGTTTGAACGTTGAAACAATATGGCGATTTTAAAATAATCGAGCAATGCTTTTATTAAACACGTAAATTGAGTAATAATATGCATAAACGAATAGAACACGATACAGAACGATCGTGAAAATTGGAAACAATGTCTGCTAATACTGCCCTGTTAAGCATATAAGTCGTATCTGACAAAAACAAAATTTTGCGCAATTAGTAAAATTGCAAATGCCACAAGTTTCCGATTTTTTTAGCCTTTTATTTTTTGCAAAACCGACTTAAGTTATCTATTCAAAATTTCGGAAATTTGTTACGGAAACTTGAACTTAATACAAAGGTGAAACATACGACATTTTAGCCTAATATTATCATTAAGAAAATGAATACGAAAAGACGTATCTACACAAATTAGTTTAAATTCTTCATTTAAAACATACTATTTAAGTAGGTACGAAAAATATAAGAAAAGCTTGTTACTCCACGCATTTCGGTGTTGCTAGGCTTCATCACTGGAATCTTCATTTATCGTTTCAGCAGTTCCGGAACATGTAGGTAAATTTTCCCAAAACTTTTTTCTGTTATGAGGCATAATTGGGCAAAGTTTATTCAAAATTTGGGTTTTTCTCTCGTTAATTATTCCTCGAGGGCACTGCTTTGAGCCTGGTTTTGAAATACCCTGTTTTGTTAATTTCGCATTCAAAAAATTCAACTATCTGCCTTCTTCAGTGAAAGATGATTTGTAAATTAAGGTTTTCTGTTTTCTATAGAAACTCACTTCAATCACAGTTTTTAAATATGACCGCGGGGAAATTTTGTTTAATTTGTATTGTGAGGTACCATCTTTCCACTCAAAGAAATCGTTTGTTTGCATTTCAATTATATTTACATTTTTTGTTGCACTTCTGACAGCCGATACAAAATCCTGGAACTCATAAACCTTTCCAGCTTGTTTCAAGGATTTTTCAACATTGTGGTAAAATGAATCTGCAGACATGAACGTGTGGCCCGGCTCAAAGTATTCTACTACGAGTTTATCTAGCAAAACTTTGTTAGAATTCACAATGTAAATGAAAAATGTGAATACACTTCAATTTTTATTTTGCGAGGAGCAGTTATCAAGCTACAACACAATGTTCTTTTTGTCTCGTGCGGATAGGAAAAAAGCATAAAATGTACTTATCAGGTCTTCCTTGGAATGTCCACTTACAGCTTTATGCCAAAGAACTGCTGTTGGGCCTGACTGCTTTTTCCCAACTGGTACAAAACTCTCATTAAAAGCGATGATACGCAATGTAAAAATTGCTTCTTTAAACATCTCAATTCTCGGAAGCATGATGACCTGAAAGTAAATTGTTAAAAAGGCACAATCATTTGTAGCAGTCATAAAAAGCTTTACCTTTTGAAGGTTAGCGGAGACGACTAAATCTGAGATTCCATGAGTAGTTGCATCTTTTTCATACTCTTTCCGAGCTTGTGTGTATTTCAGTAGGTGATCTTTGAATTTAATAAGTTCCGCACAATCCTCATCTAAGTTTTCTTTCGAATGGTAACTTGTTTTTTATGTACAGTAAAAAGTTCGCAGGTCCAACATTTATTATGGCCCAGCTTCACAAAAGCAATATTAAGGCTACTTACTACTTCTCTGTACAGATATTATAAACACTGGATGTGTGGATATTTAGTCATGCATTTGCTGAATGGTAATATCACTCGGTAAGTATCTTCTCTTGGGGGCATGCTCCCTTCTATAATGTGCGATAGTCGGCTGGAATGACTCGATATGGTTTATAATTATATCTCTGTCAATTTTCACCTTCTCCTTTTTACCTCGTTTATTTGGGTTCGGAGTAAGGCCAGCATTTTTTGACTTGTTCAATACATCCTTAACAAATCGGTCGTTTTTTGTTTCATATCCAAGTGTTCCTAGGAAAAATGCTTTGCACACATTTTGTTTTGCCCCATCTTCGTCTTTGAGAAAGTAAACAACATTCTTAGATCTTCTAGATACGCTTGGATCACCAGTCGTTCTTCTTTTCACAGTAGGGGAATGTCCCGTATCTTGAACCACCTTTTTTCAATTAATTGTATACCCAAATCTATTGGCAGTATATCTGTCAATGAAATAGGCATAGATTAAGAGCTACCACGGCATGACATTAACTGTGTGAAAAATAAAATATTAAGTGACAACATAGTAAAATTAGTTATTTTTTATTATCTTAAAATGGCTCAAGGTACACAACCGGTGCTGTACCTATAGCCACTAGGATATGTGCCTTGGTCCAGTTCTAAAATGTAGTTGTACTAATTGTCAATAACGTGAAAAGTAGGGTATACGTACCTCTTTTATGGTAAATAAAAGAAAACCAAAAATACTGAACGCAATAAATTAAAATATCAGTAATAAAGCTGATGCCAGAACAGAAATATACAATTCATGAAAGATAACAAATACATTCTTTAGAATCAAATTAACAAAAATTATTCTACATCGTAGGTTGAAAAGTCTATGCCAAAAGTGAACATGTTTTTCTGTCTTTCTGAAAATTCACTGCACTCAGGTTCTGGAAGAACCATCACAACTTCACTTTTTGAGATATCATACACTTCGTCTTTTTCTTTGACCAACTTGTAGGTGGTTTTAAATCTTTTCAGGTATTTGACCTTTATGTTGTCTTGATCTTCGATTTCGACAATTTCCGCTACATAGTAATGTATATTCTTTTTTCCTTCAAGTCTGGTCAAACAATATTTATTTACCGCTTTTTCTCCACTATCCAGTTCTGCCGAGGCTTGTGGAGATTTACAGAATATATATTGAATTTTTCTTGTTATTTGTCCCCACTTGCTAATTGTCGGTTCGATTACATAATCAGGTTGGTCAATAGGACCTTTGGTAAGGTAACGTTTGTATTATAGTAGGAACATACTCAATTTGTAGCCGCTTGAAGGCCTTCGTAGAGGAGATGCATATGGTTTGGCTTATTTGGAGCATAAATGCTACCTACTTTCTGTGCCTAAGCACCTGAGGTGGGATTTATATAAATCCAAGAGTTGGATGCCGACTAACTACAGTGAAGAAGGGGTGAGTCGTAGCAAAAGTTATGCATGTTAGTGGGCGCCAGTTTACCACATATCCAACAATTCCAAGTGATCATCCACTATAAAACTCCAACAACTAAATGCTTAAGTACATTAACAAATAGATTATCCAACTATTAAAAATAATCTAGTATCACTGGGAGTATTATTCATAACTGAAACGCTATATTAGACTTAAAAATATTTAAATGAGACCAGGGGTAATCTTAAAACTGTATGTATCAAAATAAATAAATAATAGTCTTTTTACTGTCGCTAGGGGTAAAACGAGTAAAACTGTTATTTACTAAAATCAATAGTTACCCATAAGTAATATACCCCACGAAGAGCTCTTGGTGACGTTTTCGGGTTTATTAAAATGTACTGTAATTATACACCCCTAAACCTCGTTTACATTAGGTTTGGATAAAGTTATGTACTAATAACCCACCCAATAAAATAGATTAAATAGTAATATAAAAATAAGTAAGCAAAAACTTGCGGTACACCGTGATTTCTTTTCAATTGGGAAAACTCTAGTAAGCGGTTGATGTCCTACTATCTCTGCTTCGTTAGCAGCATACAAATCGAACTGCCTATCATGATGGTTGCTAGCCCGTCACACGAATACTAGCCGGTCACAAGAAGTATAGGCCCCTCACAAGAAGTATAGGCCCCTCACAAGAAGAATAGGCCCCTCACAAGAAGTATAGGCCCGTCACAAGAAGTGTTGACCCTTTACAAGGACTACTGGCCCGTCACAAGAACCCTAAAGATAACGTATAAGATAAAACACAACGATAACTATTTATCCCTGGTTAATAAAGTTAAAATTAAATAACCAGGGACCTACATAGCCTTCTCGTAAAGCGAGGTCTAGAAATAGGTAGTAACTACTCAACGTTTACTAGTTAAATTAAGTTCGGCTTATTAATTTATATAGGTAATCTTCAGATTTACAAAGCAAAAAGATAGACGGCTCGTGAAGCGAGTTCTACCCAACAATTACATTTAATAGGCAAATTATACTCTTAGATTTCAAAATACTACCCCTTAAAAGTTAATACCATATACTGAAAATATATACAACGAAAAGAAACATAAATTAGGGTTAATAATCGTCTAGGTAAGCATGCTAACTAAAATCAAACTATATTTACCTCTTTAAGAGCAATATGGGGAACACGAACAGATCGCACTACAAATTCATGAACAGCTTATCCAGATAGGATTACATATATATGTGGGCACTGAAATAGAGGACAAATGGCCTTACAAACAGAATTACTACGTCGTAATCTAAATGCTAAACAAAAAAAACTCACCTATGAGATTCAACACGTGCTTGAATATATCCTCTTAAAAGAGCTCTTACAACATGTGGTCACCAAAAATACAACCAAATCACACTGTTCTGACTTTAAACAAAAGTTTGTTTCGCAATATCCCAATTATGGATTGAAATAAATTCCAATAAATTTTGAAAACTACCTGTTACTAACCACGTGTCGAGCGAATTTGCAAATTCCAAGAAGCAAGAAGCCGACGTCACTTATCAAAAAAAAAAAACAATAATACCAACATACCTTAGTGACAAATAGGTGTCCCATCAGCGCCCTCTATTACAAAATAAATTCTTGACAGAAAGGGCTAAAATAACCAAACAAGCCTCTAAAACCAAATAAATAGCCCAACTAAACTCAAATAGAGATCCTATTTACCCCAAACTGATAATATACCCACAATTACTGTCAGGGCGGAAACGCTAGACCGACATCTTGAATACAGGGCAGTCACCTGAATTTCATTTAGTTCGAATATCATGTATGAGTTTTTTGGGCGTTAAATCATGTTGTTTTTGGATTTGCATTAATTTTGAGGTTATTTGGAACTTTTTAAAATGATACACAAGAGTAGGTACCGTTTGAATAAATTAGTTCGGCAATCAAATTTATAGTGTGCGTATCGTGCCCAATATGCTTCCATTGTAGTTCCTCTCTTACCACTTCAAAAATTTTTTTTCAAGTCCCCAAGTCTGCATTGTTTTTCTTAATTCCAAGACCAAATTTTTACTTGTTTATATCTTGTTGAAATTCCGGACATTCTACCAAAACAGATTTAATCGGGGAACTTTTATTATTGTAATGTATAGTTCCACCATGTAACTTTGTGTGTTGATTGAAGTTCAGCAATCTGTTGTGACTATTACAAATGTTACATTTTTTTAAAATATTAGTAAAATTTGTAGTCGTTTCTCTATACACTGCTGTTAAAATAATATTTGTAGTTGTTTTCCTAGGTGGAATTATATACATATATGCAAGATTTAAAGCATTTACGAAATTTCTGAAGGCAGCAATACTAAATGGTTTGAAAGTCTTTTACCACTAAATTAAGTTTATTTTTTATAAAAACACCCATTTTCTTCGAAGTATATGGGAGTTTAGTTTGTCACTGAACCACCTGATGACTACTAGTAGTATTTCTATTTTAAGGACAGCGTCTCCTAGGAATTTCTGAATAAAATTATGTCAATTTAGATTCAATCAAGGAGGTGCTGTTACCTACCGACTAGAGATTGAATTAGTGCAAATTATTACAGAAATCTTTAAGTAACTATAAATATCGACCGACTAGCTATTAGGGGATATTGTATTATATTGTATTATAAACCGGTTTTTAGTAGACTGAGTTCGAAGGATCATAATAATAGTCCTGAACATAAAATCTATTTTTCAATAATTGCCGGGATTTTACCAAATAAAAAAAAATTATTTCGCGATTGTGAAAACGGTCCAATCGTTTTATATGCCATTTATAATATTATAAAAATGTTAACTCTAGGACTTATTTTGGAGTATGAGCATATTTTATTTCAATACTTTTATTGTACTGTTTCATAAAGTATTACCTACCTATTACATTTTATTTTTATCGAAAATTGACTTTGTTTCCTGGACCAAAGTAAAGAATGTAGGTAGGTATGCAGATGGTAACAACAAAAACGATATCTTGCTTCACATTAAATATAATTTGGTTTATATACGGGTAGTAATACGAGGGATGTTTATAATTTCAAGTCACGAATATAGAGTCGTTTCAAAATATATTGCCACAATAATTGCGTCACATTGAGTCGGAGTGGGACGCTTGACGTGTCGCAATTCGCAATATATTTTAAAACTATTCTACGTAATTAATAAATTGTGATTTTGAAGTATCGAATGAAAACTATATTCTCATTGGTTAAAGATGGAAGTTTTTGTCATTTGAATGTTCAAGAATATTAATTGTGATTAATTGGTTAAATACCGAAGTTATCTGTTATCTGATGTTGGTACTAACCTAATGTTTTTGGGTAATTTTGACTGTCATTTCCTGGAATTTCCAGGCCCGCATAAATATTTATCCTATTAAAGTACAAAAACCCTACAATAGATACCCAGCAAACCATTCTGTTACATGTTCCCTCCTGTTACATAACTAAGAAGGATAAAATATACTTAGACTGTCCTGTATACACTTTTATGTATTATTTATGGAACCGAACACCTAAGTTCAAACTTAGCACCATAGTTATATACCATGTATATAATTAAAACATATGTTACAAAATTACATAACCGTTATATAAATTTAATCACACAAAGATTATATCAATTTATATATCTATGTGTAATCTACATTAAAGTAACAATTTGTACTAAATTATTTCGTTTAAAATGTTACATAGCGTATATATACATAAATGCTGTTGACCAAACGGTCCTTGAAATACACATGTTTTTTAGGTAGGTAAGTAGGTAAATCTGGAGCATTACTTTTAGTAGAGTTTCAATGTTCAATTGCGGCTATAGGCGTTTTATGGAGGTACCTGTGGCATTTTTGGATTTATTGTGGAAAATAGCAGGTATGTTGTGTTTTTATAATGATATTGAGTTATTATATGTGTGTACTGTATTTTCAGGTCATGCTTGATGGGGCCCTGAATTTCGAGGCCGTGGATCGTCGTTAATAGCAGATATTTTGTGACTTTCATGATGAATTTGGGTTATTATATTTGTGTGAAATATTTCTATAATATATTTTTGATTTCGGTTATGAATTTATCCAATAAAATTGTTGATATACCTAACAAATACGTTTAAATTACTTTTTTTTATTCCTCCAAATATTTTCGACGTTTTTTGTAAGTATTTGTCATACAGTGTGTCTACCTAAGTTAGAACCATATGGAAAACGTTTTTATTATTGGTTATGTGAAAAAATTTATTCTAGATAAAAAGTCCTGCATGGTCCAAAACTTAAAATACAACGACCAGATATCAATTTTTTTGGGCTGCATACGAGGTTCGCCAAAAAATATGAATTTTACTCAAGAGTAAAGTACCTTTATGTTTTACAATACAGAAGAATGTTATAAAGTAAAGTTATTTTAAATTAAAAGTTATATTTAAATATGCAATTACAGCATTAAAATTAAGGTTTGGTGATTAATCAATTTATAACTACAAATAATTTATAATGTGAAACGTAAATAATCACCTAACCTGAATTTTTATACTAATTGCATATTTAAATATAACTTTTAATTCAAAATAAAAAATAAAGGTACTTTGAGTAAAATTCATATTTTTAGACAATCCGCGTATACAGCTTAAAAAAATTTATATCTGATGGTTGCATTTTAAGTTTTGGACCGTGCATAACTTTTTATCACAAATACATTTTTTCACAAAACCAATAATACACAAATTCTCCATATGGTTATTCCAACTTAAGTAGACATACTGTATAACTAATACGTACATTTTTAGACGACACATTTACATACCTTCATTTATATAACATTTATAATACTAATGTTATATGAAAAAAGTAATGTATATGTGCTGTAATAATGATGCATATTAAATGTTACAATGGTAATATAAATGTTACATGTTTTCCGATATATAACATTGTTCCTTATATGTACTTAACCCATTACATCACATATAAGGAACCTGCTATATAACAAAATTAGGTCATTTTTCACAGTAATCACGTGAGTTATTATGTAACATGTAAGTTACTTTGTTATATAACACAGAACTAATACATGTAAATGATACATATATCGTCGCTGTTAGTGCAATAGGTAGTATGTCCAAAATTACGATTTTTCAGGACATAAGAAAATGGTTTTAATTTTTTATGTATTTCAGTTTTTTTTTTTGGAATATGAGAAATTATTTTAATTAGCTCGGATATATTATATGACGTTAACCTTATTAGTTTATGATGACCCAAAGAGACTTTTTATAGACATAGGAGAAATGTCTTTCTTATAATGGTTACATATTTTGACATGCGACATTTTAAGCTGATTAAAACCAAAGGAAAACAATGCTATACATACCAAGTAACTTGAAAAAATATTTATTTTAAGTAAAAAAAAAAGTTAGATACAAAGTAAAATAATTAACCACTTAACTGTTAAAATAACAAGACAAATCAATTATGCAACAAATTTTCATAAAATAGTCTGCAGTCGAGGGGAATGAACTCTTTAAGTTCTTGCAAATGAGCGAATTTAGAGGCTTCTATTGGACATGGACCATCATAAAGACGCTGATACTCGTCACTGCTTACAGATGCGCGTTGACGCTGAGGCACATCTTTCCAGGCTTCCGAAAAGTTCAACTTGTAGGAAATTACACCATTTGGATCACAGTGGAGTGCGCAGATATCAGTTACCACTGGATCTCCGGGTTTTCGACCCGGTCTTATGCTTGAGTAAAATTTTGTTCCAAATTTAAAAAAATCGAGATGCGTTAATTCGAATACTTCGTAGGGAAAAGGATTTTGTCTGGCTTCTCTCATAATTCGCAAATAATCAGAAGGAAGGTAAATTTCTTTTCGACGACCCATTTTTCTTTCTATTAGACTATGAGCGGAGTCTACCTCCATCTGGGTATGTCCCACCTCCAGATACTTCTGCTCAATCTCAACTGAAAACTTTTTGGAAATATCAAGTAATGCAGTGGACAATTTTACATTCCTATTTTGGTAGGAGCATCCGTCACTCCAAAAAATGATTTTTGAAGGACGATGCTTTTCAATTTGTTGATTAACAAATTTTGTAGCTATTGATGCAAAAACATCACTTTCAAGGCCGGCCTGTGCTTCGTGCCACACAAAACATGTAACTGCCTTTGTTTTCAAGTTGTAGTAAGTCCAGTTATGTACTTTTAACTTTGTTTTATAATAATTTGCTGCAGCATTCAGGCGGGGAGCTAAAAGAACTGCTTGAAGATCTACTGCAAAAGCTAAATTCTTTTCATTTTCCTGGCACTCTGTTTTGTCCTTCTCCTTTTCTTCACGGGCTTTTGACTTTCTAAGAACGTGCGCTTGAAAGGTTTCTTCTGCTACTGACCCATTTTTGTATCCCGAACAAGTATTACACTGGTCTTTCTTCGGTGTCCATATTTCCAAATTAAGCTTCTTAAATATTTTAAAAAAAGTAGTCCAGGATGCTGCCTTCTTGCCCTCTTCTTGTCGTTTCTCATTATATATTTTATAAACGTGTCTATAACTATCCCAAACAGGCTCCAAATAAAGCTTTGTACTGGAAGATCGGCAGTAATGGGACTCGACCTGTGGCAAACTTAAAAGAAATGCCTCCACATTTATAGAACAGCTTTCATTGTGTTGTAGTGATTCATTACTTGACTTGATGCCTTGGTTAGTATTGCTACTCTTCTCTGTAACCCAGTTTTGTACTGTTTTTTCTCCAATGTTCAATGTGGCTAGAAACATTGCTTTGCACACAAGTTTTCTGGATTTTGTATTCCCATTTGCAGCAAGTTCCTGATTATTTACTATTAGGTGGTATTTCAATGTAAACCTTTTAAGTTTTTCTTTATTTGTTGCCGTGCGTCTATATTTAGGTGTTACTGGAACAACTAGTCCTTTTACAAATGACTTCTTTGCTTCCCAAGAATTTAGTTTCCAAAACTCTTCAAACAAATATTCTCTTTGAACATCAGATATATCACTGCATTGAAACCCTTGCCGTGGTCCACCTTTCCCGCTTTTTGCAAGTTTTTGATGATGGCCAATGCACTTATTCCCTATTCTTCGCATTTCTTTCGATGTGTTTTGCTTATAAACTCCGGATTTGTCTTTTTTAAACCCTGTATAGGTTTTTCCATGAAGTCTTAATTCGGCTTGCTTACTTCTTTTCCATAACTTGGGATTACCTTGGCCTTTACTTTTTCTTTTATTCCCCTTTCGACCATCTAAATTTGAATCAGTAGGTATATTGTCAGTCTCCTTTTGGGTAGGGCGTTGTCTGTTAGGGTCTTCACCGTCACAAGAGGTAGATTCATTTGACATGTTACTTATATTTTCAGATTCGGTATCTTCTTTTTCCGATGGCTGGTACTCTGATCCAGAATCTTCAAAAAAGTTTTTAATATCAGAATCCTCTGAATGGTACTCGTCTTGGAGGTTGCTAGCAAGGACAGTTACTTCTTTAACGTAGGTATCAATATTCAAACCGTTTTCAGTTGGTATCAGTTCCGAGGTGGCTTGAGGAAAAGTTGTTGCTTTGTTTTCTTTCTTTGAGAGTTCTGAGAAAAGCGTACCATTATTTAAATTTGTCACGTTTGTTGAAATATCCGTACTCTCACCAGGATCAGAGTGATTGGAACATCCTTCTATCCCAGCTGATTGAAAACATAGTTGTAAAATGCGGTTATTTCTACTGTTTCTTGTAAACATAGTGTGATATCTACAACAAAACATCATTTTTAATAGATCGTATGTCAAAACTTTCAACATATTCAGTAAAGAAGCAATATCTCTTATGTCAAATAAAATTTTTGGATCATTTATTTTTACTCAAATAATAATTTTGCAGAAAATCATATTACTTAATTATTAACCCCAAACTACAAGATTTGCAAATATTGTAGGTTGTAACTTAATTATTAACTATTTTTCATAAACAAATCTCATTTTGTGAGGTTAGGAAAATTTTATTTTAAAAATAGAATTAAATATCTATACAAAAAACATACTTGCGTTCTTAGTGATGTTTCAATACAATATCGTAATTTGACAAGTATTATTGAGTAATATTACACGATATTACACCTTGAAAACGAAAAAAAAAATACGAAAAATATCACTGTCATTGCCTGGTGTCTGACATACGACAAATTGCTGTAACCAGACCAGGGTCACTAAGACATAAGATATATTAGCTAATACGCGTGCGTAGCTTTATTTCTTATGATTGAGATATGAAGTTTTGCAGTATGGTAGTAGCGTTAGATTTGGTTCGTAAAATGTCTTAAACAAAAAATGCTATTTTTTTGACATACGACCTATTGCAATAACAGCGACGATATGTTACATGTTTGTGTTTGCTGGGTATTATGAGTAGGTATTTAACATTCATTTATCTTATCTTATCTTAGGTAGTTATTTCCTAGAAACATTTCCCTGATTGTCAATAACACATTACCGTATATCTGTGCCAATATGACGTCACGACTTTTAATATACTTAATGAAGGCTGGGGGAAGGAGTTAAGAGTCTATAAATTTACAAACAAGCTTACGGGTATTTAGTTTTCAAAATTACATCACACGTTTCTGAAGTGTTTTATTGTGCTGTTTGTTTTTAATAAGTGTTATTTTCTTTAATAGAAAATTGATTTATTTGTGCCAAGTGTCCTAGTTAGTTTCATTGTACATTTTAATCAGTTTTATTTTTGGATAAATTGACATCGACTTCCTGCATTAAAGGTAGGTAGTATTTTTTTCTCTCGAGTTCGTCATTGAATAAAAAAATTAAACGCTATAATTATAACATTCAAATATTTGCAATTAAAAAATAATATTACGTATTAAATTTGACAATAAAAAACTTGTTATTTAATAATAATATTTCATTATTCTGAATATATTTTTTCTACGATCAATATCCAAAGTAGGTAGGCTTTTGCACATTAAAATCTAAATAAAAAGTTGACGTTTTCTGCGAATTGTCATAATTTGACATTATTGGCGCACATTACCTAATATTCAAACCCATTTCCATGCTTAAAAATAGAAGATGGTGACATTCATTTAAAAGAAAACCATAACTACTTCTACCAGGTGAAAAATTTCAATATGTTAAAATAATTCATGATTTTTAAGAAATGTGCTAGAAATGATACTACAATATTAATATTCTTTTTATGTTTGATTTTCTAATAATGATTTTATATACTTTTAGATTCAAGGACAGCTAGGTATAGCTCAAAGAAAATTGTGCTACTTTGTAGTATATACTGGAGATGAAAATCCACTATTTGTTGAAAAAATTCATTTTCAACCCATTTTTTTTTAAAATATGGTTGAAAAATTAGAAAAATTTTACTCGGAATATATGGCACCTGAGATAATTTTAAATAGAAGAGGACGAGGATTAAAATGTCTGGATACCCCATATAATGAAACTTAAAGTGCAAAGATTAGCAAATTTATAAAAATAATAATTTAATGGACTTTAATGATACAAGTACTTGAAATAATGGTTGTTTTTGCGCAGAAACATGTTCATACGTAATTTGCAATTGGTAATCACTAATCACAGATGGAAAAGTATATACGTCAACGATATGTTCTCTTATTTTTGATTTATTTTAACAGGTATAATATATGGTATGTTACTTATAGTATAGATTTTTTTATTTCTCGACCTAATTTATTTGTTACGTCTTCAGCAATTGTCGCTTTCAGTTGACATAAACGAAATTGATAAAAAGTGTTTTTCGCATTTTATTTTGACTGTTTCTCTTACTTTCGAATAGAAACTGAGCTTTGTAAACATAAAATGACGGATATGTCAAACTAAAACTGACGGTAAAATGAAACATTGAGTATCGTTAAATGCAACTTTTGAACTAGTTTCAAAAATAGCATTAAAATGATATTGTCATTCACAATGTACTAATTTCCTATACTTTTAGTTGATAAATAACCGATAATCATACATCATATAACAAATAGGCGCGTGTCAAAAGTCAGAAAAAAGAGTGCCGATGAAAAAAGGTCGTTTCCAATTGTATCATATAAACAGTATCAGAGGCAGTATTATCATCTCGTATATCCCCCGTAAACACACATAATATAAACGGAAATAATCAAATACTAGTCAAAATATTATCGATCGGAGTACCATCTTTATTACATTACATGAAGTAATTATTGATTTTTCGGGGTTGATTTAGAGTTAAATTAGACGCCATTTTTGGTCCAAATTCGTTTTGACATGTTTTTTCAAAGAAAGTGACTTATAAATTTCAAATCTACACGTTTTGAAAAATATACAATATTTAAATATTCTGAGTGTACCAAATTCCAAGTAAAGGTTGAACTTAGGTCGTATTACATTTTTTTTTTATTATTTGTTTGACATCGAGGTTAAAATAATTCTACACGGCACCTTTGAGATGAAATAAAAGGGGGTTATTTTACATGATTGGTTTTTATTGCAAATAATAAATTTATTAATTTTCAATGGTAAGGTGACCTAAGTTAGACCTTTATTTTTAATTTGGCCAAAAATTAGATTTTTAAACACTACATATTCGGAAAATTGTCGATTTAACTTTTGGTCTACACATACACTTTTAATACACAGGGATACCCTGTCCTTAAAATTTGTATATTTATAATAATAATAATAATAATAATACTCTCCCTAATTAACCCCTTACGAGTGAATTTTAACCCCAAAAGCTGAGCTTATCCGGGGAAAGGTACTGCTATTATTATTTGCTGTGACGCTCCGGGGCGACTTAAACATTATTAATGGTGCCATTTGACTTGCAGGTGAGGAAAACCCCACCCACCATCATGTTTTCTTGTTTTTTATATATATTTTTTTAATGGTAGGTTCCTGATGTTTGGTTTAAGGTTAGTTTGCGGTAGTAGTTAGGATTGCCAGATTTAGATGGGACTAATAAAAATCCTTTTTATACACGGTATTAGTATATTGCTGCATTAGCGATAGCAGGGGAAACAATAGATCTTTTAAGTCGCACCCAATCCCAATATAACATATTCAACCAATAATGCTCTACCCCCAGAAAGCTCTCGTTAATTGATGAATTTTGATATAGGAACGTAAACTCTTAAATGGTTTAGCTACCGAGAAATACAAAAATAAATGACATGAAAAATAAATTCTCAAAACAAAATAAAAACTTACATACTATAATTTTAAGAATACTTTTTAAGGTTGTTTTATTTCTAGCAACAAACTATCACCATCCTTTGAAAGAAGATATTAAAATATGTGCAGCTAAATGAAAAATTGTATTTTATAAGTAGCTCACTCTTCACAGTTTTTAACCCAGCGTTGCTTGTATCTTTACGCCAAGCATTAATCATTAAACTAAAAATTCTTTCAGAATTTGCGTTTGAATGTGGTAAAGAAAATATAAACTTCAACAGTCCTTCCCAGTTTTTTAGCATTTAAACTTTTAAATTTTTCATCTTCTATTTTCTGTTTAACGTACTCTTTTAAAACGCACGTTCACCCCACTAGCAGGAGTCCCACAGGGCTCCGTCTTGGCCCCCTCTCCTCTACCTCATCTACACACACGACACTCCCCCCCAAACCACCCCACATCCAAATGTCTGCTATACGCAGACGACACAGCTCTAATTTCGGTAGCCAAAAATTCTAACCAACTAAATATTCGAACCCAAAATCTGTTGAACCAGTACTCTCACTGGTGTAGCAGATGGAGGGTCTCATTAAATCCACAGAAAACTCAATTTATTATCTTCAAACACCCAAATTCCAAAAGAACCTCCCAAAACCCCCAACTCGTAAACGTAAATCTCCTGGGAGTCAGGCTCGCCCAACAGACTGAAGTCGATTATTTGGGGGTACGATTTTCTCGTACACTTAACTGGTCCTCTGATGTCCAACGCACTCTTGACAAGATGCGAAAGCGAGCCAGTCTCCTTGGAGATTTGTGCGGACGAATGGGGCGTTGTAACCCAAACACCCTTATTCACACATATAACTCCTTCATCCGACCCGTTGCCGAATACAGAGCTATACACTACGGAGTACTTCCCACATACCTGTCCCAAAAATTTACCACACTCGAGAGACGTATTCTCAGACGCTGCCAGTACCTCCCCTATCGCTCCCCCAGTGGAGAAGTCTACCTAAACACCCCCAACACCCCCATCCTCACACGTTTTCAGACCCTCAGGAAACAGTACGTCTCTTGCACGCTGAAAGGCACAAACACTCACTCACTAGACACACTCCGAACCCCATGGCGCCCCAACCAACTCCCTCTCTTTCGAAAACCGAAAAGAAAACTGCCACAGCCTAATATAAAACTCCTCACCGACGCCCAAGACCTCCCCCTCACCGCTGAACTCCAGGATCTGCTGGAATCAGCCCCCCTAAGTATAAGATAAACCCTTCCCAATTACTTAATTAGAAAGTCAAAACTTATGTACAATATCGTGGTTTAGGTTATGGGGTTGGAAATAGCAAAATTGGCGATATTCTTGGGGAACACAACCTGTCACACAGGTCCCACACACGCGCACAACAATTTAGGAAATTAGCTAGCTAGGTTACTTTGTAATCAGGGCAGACCACCCTGAAAAGGAGGATAACTCCTATAGCAGGGAAATAGGAAAATGAAATGTCCTAGAAAAATGTAAAATACTTAAGATTACAGGTAATAAATAAAAAAAAAACGCAAAATTTATCAAAAAGAATATAAGCTTCAATGTTCTGAAGCATTTATATTTAACATAAAACAAATACCCTGACTATCTTATTTAGAATTTTCTTCTCCGTTTTCATTTTCAATTTTGGAAGAATGGACTATTTCTTCTAGTGTACGTAGAAACCTAAAATCTCTAGTTTTACCTCTACTAAATTGACCTCGTCCAAAATTACCTCTACCTCATATATTGTGTCCAAATCTTGTACTTCTTGCACCTCGTTGCATATTATTATAATTTCTGCATTGACTATAATGTCCTGTTTTACTACACGAATAACAGTTGATACTGATAATAAACCTCAGGTACAAATCTCATTAAACAGATAATGACACTATAAAATACAACTCCGCACCTGTACTGAAGCGAAAATTTTCTTATCTATATATTGAGTTTATGGTTTCAGGTAAGTAGGTAAAAAACTCTCTTTTAATGACTATGACCGAATCTCACCGAAATAAGTTTCTACCATAAATCTGAATTCATTTAAAGGTAGAACTTTGGTCAGTGGAAGTAGATAATATAATTAAAACAATTCATATGAGTAAAAATTAGACAAAAATATGACTGTCAAAAATGCATTAATAGGCAAACAAGAATGTTCATGCTGCAACAACAAAAAAATGAAATAAATCATCCAGAGTTTGTACGACTCTTAACAATAGTTTAATTGGGCCTCTTCGTCCGGCAAAGACAAGAGGCAACAATGTGTACAAATTACAAAATAGTTATTATAAAAAATATTTATTTATTTATTTCTATTTTAGTATAAAAAAATATTTCACATTTCGCCAGTTTCTTGAACTCATCACTTCTTTATTATTAGACAGAAATGTTTCAATATCCTGTTTTCCCGGTAATTTTTTAATTATTAAATAATTTTCAAATCTTTTCATTATGCGTTATATTTCCAGCGTTGACCATATTCTCCTTGCAAATAAATGTTTAATCTGAACATTACAGTTTTTTATATTTTCTTTTATTTTTTTAATCTTTCTTATTTTTTTATCCTTTAATTGGGTTCCGCCTGCACTGGTATTTACAATATTTTTTTCTGGATTACTTGGCATTTTTTGTTTATTACTTTCCTTATTGTTATCCATGTTTTCTTCTTGGATATCATTTTTGTATTGGCTATCTTTCGACTTCTCCTGATATTTCATTTATCTCATCTACAGTAATATCATCTAAATTTCTACCTACCATATTATTCATATTTCCTCTCTCCATGTTGAGCACAATTTTACTAATTTTTGCTAATTGGATTGTTTCATCGGCTAGGTGATAATACTGCCTGTGGAATCTTATGTCATGGCTCATGAACATCGCTAAAAAATCTAATTTATTTTCTTTTAAATTTAAAAGTTGAACAGCAGTTGCAACATGTTTTCTCAATTTCGTGGACGTTATTGTTTCGGGATGAGCGCATCCTGCTAACTGGAAAAACTTGCTCAGCAAGTTATAGGCTCTATAATAGCCACACGTATGGCGTAAAGACGGAAATAGATATGGATTTAATAAGTCGACACGGCAAGTTTCTCTCATATTATTTAGTACGTCAATCTGATGTTTTAATTCTTCAGTAAGAAAAACTGGTACACGACGACCTCTTTTTTCTTTGGTTACTATTCTTGTTAACGATTCAGCCAACTTTCTTTCTGTGTTTTAAAGGTATCTGATTCAGGGTCACCAGCTTTTGCCTTTAAGTAATCTTTTTTTGTGATGTACTGAACTTCTCCTACTCTTCTACGGTTCAAAATAATAATAATCGCTAATGATATTTCTGTAAGTTCTATGAATGCCGTTAGGTATATCCGATTTAAGATTTAATATATCCAATAATTTTTTACTTTGATTTGACAAGTACTTGTGTAAAATCTGAATTTCTCTTGTTAGTGGGACGCGTTTAGCTTTATTCCACTTACGTTCTGATAGAGTACGTTGTGCATGATAAGTAACATCAACGGTTCATTTAGACTCTAAAAAATCCACGAAGGTATCCAATATTGGTATTGTTGACCTTAAAGTATCATCTTCTAGGTAATCGCCCTTGAGTATCTGTTCAAGACATAGTCTCTCCAATAGGTAGGCAATTTTCATATCTTGGAGCTGTATTGTTGGTTGCATATACTTTACAGCCTTTTTGTCTATTTTTAATAGTAATATTTATTTTCTTCAAGTTGGTACTTAAAATCATAAAAAGAAGAAGGGGTTTCTTTCCCGGCTCACGCCATGTTTATTCTCACACACTCAACTGAGCCCTATGAAGCAAAAGGGTATGGTCTCTACTGTGAAAAACGCTCTCTCTGATTCACTGTAAAACAGATAAATTAATACTGTAAAACGTAGTGCTGGTGATCGCGAGTGGAATTAACAAAAAAAACCTCTACTGTGCGAAGCGAAATGTTTTTGTGGAATTTCTAAGACTCGTTTTACCTGTTATTTTCTTTTATTTGTTAAAATTGTGTTCGAGCCGATGGCTACTAGTTAAGTTGTAAATAAATAGTTGGAAAACCAGAGCGCGTATGATTTCATTGAGATGAAGAAAGAAACAGCGACCTATGGATTTTTCAAGATACAGTTTGCATCATCTCTAATAGTGTATATTAGAGATTGCTTCCCTCAACATTTAGTACAAAGACAGTACAGTATCCAAACACATTTTTCAATTGTAAATCCAATTTTTAATGCTAAAGATGGAGCTTTAAAAGCATTGGTTACATCATTATAACCTGCAATCTTACAAACAGCTGCTCTAAAAGTTTTCTAGCCAGGGGGTCGATTCTCGACTTTTTTCCTATAGGAATTTGGTTGATTTTCCTATAGGAAAGTAGGTTACGTATTCTGGAGTCAAGTTGTAGGAATATTTTCCTAAGCAGTTATAGGAAATGATTTCCCATGCTCATGAGACAGGGGATTTAATTTTCCTACAAGATTTTGTAATCGCGCTTGCTCAATAGTAGCTTGTTTTAAAAAGGATATCGTGTTGCGCCAGTGCCAATCGAAAAGTGCCGATGAGTGTCATTCGGATTTAGTTTATTACCTTCTCAATTTCGAACTCAGACAAAAATAAGTTGGGTTAAGTGTCCGGTAATTGAACGCGTCGAGGTTCTCGCAGGTTCTGCGGCGCGGACGGTTGCACGGTCATAAACTCAACAATTTTTTGTAGACGTTTCTTGGTCTTCAAGAAACGAACTCATTTTTAAATTTCGAACTAAATTAAAAAACGGTGTAAGAGTCCGGGACTAAGCAGTGAAACTTATTCACCTGGCAGTTCAGGTTTCGCGGTGCAAGTGCGGACGCACACAGTTTTTCAAGACTGATTCTTGACCATCAAGAATCAGTCCTTTTTTTCCACTAAATATCATTTCTACATACTTTCTCAGAACTCGCGTCTATCGGTGCGGATAAACTTAATTCCATAAGGCTGATTCTTGATTTCAAGAACCAGCCTTTTTCTATTTGGCTAGTAATTTCTACAAACTTTCCCAAATTTTAAAACCAGAGTGACATGGAGACGGACGGAAACATGGCCGATCCTTTCGACTCATCGGATGATGGCCAGATAAAAAAGTTTGAGAAAGAAATTAAAGATCTTGAGGGCGCAACGTCAATTCCCAGACGGGATAGTCTCAAAAGGACACCGCCGAAAACACGAAGTTTCTCGGTCTCGGATCCGGTGGCAATCCTAACGACCGAGGGTTCCCCGGACAAGGACAGAAAGAGAAACAGGAGCTCAGACACAGAGAGCCCAGAAGCAAGGGAACTTAAAAGCGCAAAGTGGAAAATGACTAAGGACCAAGAGGAAATGGCTAAACAAGCTAAGGTCATAGAAGAAATGATGAGAAAAGAAAAGAAACAAGAGGAAAAAAAAGAAAAGGAACGTCTAGACAAAATCGAAAAAGAGAAAGCAGAAAAAATGGAAAAGGAAAGACAAGAGAAAATAGAAAATGACAAGAGGAAGAAAGCTGACCAGGAAAACGTCAACACAAGTGCGAGTTCCGCGAGTGGCGGGCCAGTGTCGGGTAGTGCGGCGCAAAGTTCAACGAAAATAACTCAGGTGAGTATGGCGTCAGGTTCACAGAACACAGTGGAAACACAAGGGGGACGAGACTTCACAAAAACACAAATGACAATACAAACAACTAACGACAAAATGAAAGAACTTAGGAAACAGATGAAAGAGGCAGTTACAAGGACAACTCCGGAAGGGAGGAGGAAAATCGCGTTCGCGTCAAGGGAACAGAAAACCGTCTTAAACGGACTTGACGACATTGCAACCCTCTATTCAGACCTTATAACGCAACTACTACTACAAGAAATTTAAATTAATAGACTACAACAAGAAAACATAACATTAAAAGACAACAGACAAACATCGGACATTTCGGAAGACAGACTAAAAAACTTACAAAACGAAATCATAAAGGCGATAAAACACAAAACAGATGACAAAGGACCACAACCGACAAAGACAAGCCAAATAAACTTAAATACGCCACCTACACACATTACAAGCACAGACTTCCCTCACCTCGGACAAAGGACATACAACCAATTGACAAAAAACAACCACAACAGAAAACACACAAGAAAAAAAACCTTGGATACCCCCAGAACAAATAAAGAAATATGACACTGTAATTAAAATAAAAGAGGGAGAAACGGGAAATATGTTAACCGAACTCAAAAAAGTCATAAAACCGAAAGACATGGAAGGCACGCAAATTAGACATACAAGAATGGCTATAGTACTAACCTCACAAACTAAGGAAAAACAAAACGAAATATTAAGACGGACACAACACTCAACAACACTAGACATAAAGGACGGTACCAGACAAAACGAACCGACAGCAATACTTACGGGACTACGCAAGGAAATGATAATGGACGAACTGACAGACGCATTAAAAATGGAAAACGACGACCTTAACGAAACTTTCGGGGACAGACTCAAACTACTTACAGTCGTATCGACCCGGCCTTGCCGTAACCCTTACAAAGAGAACGTTTACATACGGGGACCAACGGACATTATTAAACACCTTTTAAAATCAGGGAAAGTCTACGTAGACTTCCAGACTATATTCATAAATGAGGCTACGCAAATCGCACTTTATTTTAGATGCTGTCGATACGGACATGTATCTAAATACTGTAGAGAGACGACACCGACATGTTACCGGTATGGAGATGGACATGACGGAAATACCTGTAACAAAGACATTTATAATTGTATCAACTGCGAGAGACTAAGACTGACACCACGCGGACACCAAGCTAGAGACGCTAATTGCCCTATATACAACAAGAAAATGGACGAGGCTCGGGCTCAGACATCTTACAAATAGACAGACAAACAACCCACAAACAAACTAACAAATCAAAACAAGACTTAAACAAACACACAAACACAACACAACAAACAAACACAAAACCCGATTGACAAATACAAAAGAGTATCAAGCTTATATAATTCAATATGGGACGGGGAATTCAGGCAGCCGACCAATTACTGAAAAAAATGTGCACTGAGCAAATCGACATAGGCTTAATACAAGAACCCGCACATACATTAAACGGATAACACATATACAATATAATCAACAAAGACAGTAAAGCACCCATACTCATACACAACAGATGGACAAACAAAACAATCACACACAAAGACATGACAGACTCCAACACCACAACCATCTCCATACAAGTAACGACAAACATAACAATAATCAATATTTACGACGAACCGGTAGGAGACACGAACAACAGACTAGACAGACATAAACAAAAGATAAACAACATCACAACAAAAATTATAATCGGGGGAGACATGAACGCCAGCTGGGGGGGAAAAATCACAGACACAAGGGGGAAGACATCATGACATGGGCAGTACAACAAGACATGACAATTAACAACACACACGACAGCCCACCGACATTCAACTCAAACAGAGGCAAAAGCTGGGTCGATCTAACCATTACAAAAGACATCTACATACAAAATTGGCACGTTTCAGACGAGGACACACTAAGCGACCATCAATACATAACGTACAACACAGACAAAACGACATACCAACGCAGACAAAACGACAAGATAACTTTTAACCTACAAAAGATAGACAAAACCAAACTAAGACAAGCAATAGAAAACACAAACTGGGCCAACACAGACGGAAATATACAAAGCCACGCAAAATTAACCCAAAATAAAATCCAACAAATTCTCAAAAACAATACAACAACGCGCAAAGAAAAAAAAGCCATAAAAACACAAGCATGGTGGACAGAGGACCTGGACAAAATAAGACAAGAAACTAACAAAAAACGCAAAACCTACCAACTAGAACAAAACGTACATCTAAGACAAATGAAACACGACGCATATATTCGACAAACACGCATCTACAAAACAAAGATAAAAGACAGCAAACGACAATCACTCAGATATACCCTGACTACAAACGATCCAAACAATCCATGGGAAACGGCACATAAGATCATAAAAAGTAAACACACACAACCAAACATATTAACAACAATTAAGAGGGAAGACGGAACATAGACGAAAGATAGAACAGAGACGATCAAATACCTACACACAAAGTACTTTCCGACAGATAACGAAAACGAAAACACTGACGAACAACATACACTCAGATTATGTACACTTTTGCAGAACATGGTCCAGAACCAGTAATAAATAAGACAGAAATAGAAAACACACTAACGGACATGAAACCAAATAAAGCCACAGCAAAAGACGGACTAAACAAAGAAATATTACAAATAATAAACGACATAGACAGCGACATACTACACAAATTATATAACGACTGCCTCGACAAGGGTATTTTTCCCGACATCTGGAAGGCAGCAGATATGGTATGGTTACCCAAAAAAGACAACGGACAACGACCAATCTGCCTACTACCGACGATGGGAAAAATACTGGACAAAATCCTAGCAAGACGACTGACATACCACTTAGAAAGCACAAACGGACTAAATGACAAACAATACGGATTCAGGGAAGGGAGGACAACAATAGACGCGACACATAACGTTATAAACAAAATCAAAGACAACACTAGAGACAAAAGACACTCACTAATCATTACATTAGACCTGAAAAACGCCTTTAATACGGCCTGGACACCCAAAATAGCGGACATATTACAAAGACAAAATGTACCGACAAAACTTGCCAAAACTTGTATAGACTTTTTGAGAAACAGACAAATACAAACAGAAGACATAACAGACAAAACGGACCGAGGATGTCCACAGGGCTCAAGCCTAGGGCCAATCCTCTGGTTACTAATAATGGAGGATTGGTTCGACAGCATAGCGACAATCACAACAGACATAGACATGACACAAGCTTACGCGGACGACCAAATACTGATATGGGAAATATGCAAAAAATGGGCAGAAGACAACAAACTGACTTACAATATGACAAAAACAGAAATCATTTTCATACCATACAAAACCACATAACATACCTAGGCCTCACCATAGACAACAAACTGACGTGGATTGAACACATTAAACGAACTAGACAAAAAATGACGGACAAAGCAAACAAACTATACACAATAACAGGACGCACGTGGGGACGCAGACCAGACATTCTTAGATTCATGAACGAACACGGAATAAAGCCAATGATACTATACGGTTCAGAACTATGGGGACAAAAACAGAGACACACGCATAACAAGACACCTACACGCGACAGAACGACCTTTTTTACTGAGGATAACAAAAGCATACAAAACGACGCCCAACTTGACACTGCCGGTACTAGCCGGGGTACCTCCACTGGCAGCGGACGCAGGGGCAAATCACTATACATACAATACATTCTACATGGACATACTACAAAACAGAATCAATACCACTGACAAACCACATCCGGCATACAGGAAACTCAATACAGAACAACACGGACACATGACACATACTATTATACACACAGACGCCAGCATCAGAAACAACAATAAATCAGTAGGAATCTCAATACAAAACAACAACAACAACAAACATACAGGCATCAAAATAAAAGTGGAGACAAACAAAGACATAAAAAAAATACAAAAATATAATATATAACTGTGGTTTTGTGAACCTAGACGACATAGCCACATAAACCCACATGTATCTAAAGGGTAACACAAAAAATGTACAGATAGCTATAAGGAATTTTTATGTTTATTTATTTATTTATTCTGAAAATCTATTTAATTTATTCATTCTAACTTTTATTTATTTTACTCTTCGCTTGGGAAGTTCTATTCATCCTCTATGTTTCGATAAATTTTTGGCAAACAGTATTTATTTGAAAACCTGCTTATTTTTAACCACTGTTAACCCAATTACATTGCACTTGCATGCTCAAGTACCAAGGATAAATTTATTTTATATTATTCTATTTTATTTTAAACTTATTTATTCATTTTCATTTTGCTTGTGAGGCGTAAACTGCCATGCCACGCCTTCACTTAAACCCATGCTTGGGAATTTTGTTGGGGCAATACCTGTACATTTAAATTTAAAAAACATGTAAATACAAACGACTATGTATTAAATAAAAATTTGTAAGTTTTTTGGGAAATAAAAATCAGGGCACAACGGTCTTCTCCCCGCTCATTTTTGGAGTGCGGAGTTGGGATGGGTTCCCTTGACAGTGGATTCGCTGGATATCGGGTAAATCACGCCCTATGCCTAATGGTTGGGGGGCCGGCCTCTTAGGCCAAACAATCATTCTCTGCCCCCAGTGAGCCATGTTCTGGTAGAGCTATCTAGGGCTACTGGTCTTACCAAGGATCAAATAAAACACAGAAGGGAAAAGTCTGAATACAAAGAAATGCTGAGAAAGGAGCGTTCTAACCTCAGAACGTCGACGCTGCTAATCTCAAACAATATCAAAGAACATTCACTGCCCCCCCTCCTGTTCAAAAGTCGCCAACATCGTCCGCCAGTTTCCCTTTCTCCCTCACAGATATTCCGGCAAGGTCGCCCAACTGTATTCCAGACGAGACCCCTAAAGAAAACGTAAGGGATCGCCCACCCACGAGAACGACAGCCAGTTCCCCCGGGTTTCACGACTCACAAAAACCCGGTCAATCCTCGGGACTGGCTAGATCACGTACAGTGCGCGCCGGGAAGAAAGCGTTCTCGGAAGGATGACAGTCTCTCGCCAGACGGGTCGCAACCCAACAACCCGGCAAAGAGACAACCACAACTGGAAACCCATATACAGACTTCTGTCGATTTACTACTAACAGGGGAATAACACCACCCCCTATGGGCCTTATGTCCGGGCTCCATTCACACAGAGGGATCCCAGAAGAGCTCCTAACGTACCTGCAGGATCACCGGCGGGAGCTCTCTCTGACGGACCCCTCAGACAGAAGTCTTTCGGTTCTAATAACGGGTTCCCTGGAGCGCGATGGAAACGATCTAGCATACTTTATTGAAAACTGGATCGTCGAAATCACTACTCCGCGAAAAGGGAACCCAAAAGGTCCAGACAACATTAGCGAGGGGGGTACAACGGGTTCTGCCAGCAAGAAGCGTGTTAAACGCGCCAAAAATAACGGCAAAAATTACGACCAGAGCTATACTGGCCGTGGAGATCGGGCTTCGACCTACAAAAAAGTCCAGGATCTCTACGGCAAGATTCGCTCTGGTCTCGCAGACAAAATTCTTGCTGACCGACCGATAAACGAACCCGATGTCCTCCCGAGTTTAGATAACGTGGTCAATCTTTTTGGCTGGTTGTTGGAGAGCATCTCGCCACCGGACGAGGAGACGGTCACCTATCCCAAGACGATTTCTTTCCCTACCTTCCGCCCTTTTACAGAAGAGAACATTAGTGCGGCCAAGCCCAACTGGCCGAATTCGGCATCCGGTACCGATGGTTTACAGGTGGACCAGGTAAGAAAAAGCCATAATAAAACGTAAGCGATTCTTTTCAGCGTCATTTTTATGCGGGGCGTCCGAATGGAGCGCTTCAGGCAATTGCGCACAACGATGATTTTCAAAAATGGGGATCGAAGTGATGTAAATAATTATAGGTCCATCACGATCGGGTCAGCATTAGAGCGCCTAATGCATCGTGCGTTATCGAACTGGCTCAAATCCTCGACCTATCTTAACCTAAATGAGCGGGGTTTCGTGGATGTTGACGGCACGTTAGCAAACGCAACAATAGTTGACCAATATACGTAAGAGGCGTCAGGAGCGAAAGAGTTACGCCGCGGTGGCTCTGGACATCAGAAAGGCGTTCGACACGGTATCCCATTACTTTATTTTTCGAGCTCTAAAGAGAATGGGTGTCGAGGACGGAACTAACTATTATATCATGAGCTCAAACTAAAATCAAAGTCGGCGAGGAGAAAAGTAGGGGTATAAATATTGAACGCGGGGTCAAGCAAGGGGATCCCTGTTAATCCGCTTCTGTTTAATATGGTCATCGACGATTACCTGGAGATGATCAACGCGGACACACAGGGAGGCACAATCGCCGAAGATGTCCGCGTGTCAGCTCTAGGATTCGCCGATGACATTATATTAATGGTAGATAAGCCTACGGACGTGCTGCTGATGCTCCACCGGACGGAGGAATTCTTCAAGGCAAGAGGCATGGCTCTCAACGCCTAAGTCTGTGTC